TCAATCTTTCAAAGGAATTTTCTTGTATTTTCTCAAGAGAAAAGATAGAAAATCTGACTAATATGAAATCTATCAATGCCACCAACTACATCGACTTCAAAGGGCATCCTAGGTTGCAACTCAGATTGAATGCCATAACCATTGAAAAGGTGCCTGTCGCCAAGACATAAGACTTGAGCCAGCTATCAAACTAGAGGACAATTTTTAATCCTCAACCCCCTCTTTCCTGAAAATCAAGGCCAACAAGCATTTGCAGATATTAAAAAACTAAAGCAAATGAAAAATCCCCTAATACAAGAGAATGGTTGCTTAAACCAAGTGATGACCATCCAGGAATTTTCAAAAGAGAGTTTGGTATACTACAACCACGTCACAAACACTGAAAGTTCTACATCCAACAGAAACCATTTTAATGTACAACAGCCACAAACAAGCCATTGTCACCCATTTGCACAACCATATCACAAACACTGAAAGGTTCTACAACTTGGCATACACTACCATCTAAATCAACAAACAAGCCTTCCCAACTAATGGTTGCCATTGTCAAATGAAGGAAGAAATAAAAGACGAAATTTGGATCATTGAAAAAAAACTTCACCTACACATACCAAAGCAGGATTGTACTAACCATCCAACATAAATGCATGCAAAGACATTGGACATTGACTACACTTTTCAGACTTCTTGGAATTTCAAAATAGCAGAAATATACTCAAATAGAAATAATTTCCAATTCCATTAGTCTTCAAACATAGATCAATTGATGCTTTACCATCAACAAGCAGTAACATTTGCGTCAACAAATCAAATATACCTTCTTTGCCTCTATAAGGAGCTTCTAGAACGTTTATCAATATATTGCACAACCAAAAAGTGCTTAAGATCTACGAATGATATATTAACATACCATTCCTTAACTAGAAACCCATTTAAGATCATAACCAGAAACCCATTTAATGTACACAACCATTAGCTGGGAAGGCTCGTTTGTTGATTTAGATGGTAGTGAAAGGTACCACCAAATGCTCACCCATTTGCACCTTTTTACACCGCCTCCAAAAACAACAGCCACAAACAATTCCTATACAAAAATCATCAAAATTCAAAACAAATCCCTCAAAACTACACACTAACCAATACCCATCACAAAGTTATAATCTATTGGCCAGTACATTAACTAAAACCACCTGAAGAAAAGAACCTTAAATAGCAAAATCGAAAACCCAATTCATAAAGGAACAAATTCAAGATTTCCCATTTCAATTTGTGCAGGAACCAAAACATAATATTAGAAAATGAACACGATAAATTCACAGCAACACTTGCCTGATATAATTAGTTTTCTGACTGAAAAACTAATTTCACAAATCTTACGGACTGCTCCAACAAGCTCAGTCGATTCCGGACGAAATCGAGGCTGACCCATGGTAGAACTAGATGCTCCTGATTGAGAGAAATGTTGTGGTGGTGCTCCACGATCGAGAGGATGGCTGGATGTGGAAATAACTGGGGAAAAATCGTGCCTGCGCTCGCTGTTTTGGATGAGAATTGGGGCTGTTTCCAGCAGTCGGTGGGCAGGCGATGGTCGGAGGTTGTAGAGGGAGGTGTGGGAGTGTCGGTGGTGTGGGGTCCGAGGACTTCAATGGCGAGTGGTGTTATGGATGGAAGCAGGCAGGGGATCTGTAGCTCAAGGAAGGATTTTAGGGAAAATGGAGAAGGAGGTGTTTCCGTGTTTTCATATTTTAGCGTGTTTTGGGAAGAAAACGTTCAAAACGCTATTTCAGATGTTTTGAGTTTTCAATAGAAATTTTTTTTTTGTTTTCAAAAATTCATTTTCGAAAACGGGAAAGAGAACGCGTTTTCACTATTTTGAAAAATTGAAAACAGAAAACGGTCCGAAAACAGCAAAGAGAACAGGGCCTAAGTTTCTGTGTATTTGAATAATCAATACAGCCTAATTAAGGAAAGTCAGATAATCCTATCAACCCCCACGAATCAGGGATCTACCTTACTAATTACATACAGAGATTAGGAGAATGCTACAACTAGAAAATTACTCTAATTTTTCAAATGTTTACTACTGTGGATTCTCAATAATTCAGAATGTAATACAGATTCTCCATCAGTAATGTCTGATTCTCTGCTGTTTTCTTCATTTAATTGCAACAGATATCATTTTTGGTGGGGAGGATATAATCTCTCTGGCTGAGGATGCAAGTCAGAGCCCAATATGCTTCTACAACGTGCTTGCCGATCATTTTGTTCAAATGCCAGAGACTGTAAAATCAATCCTTGATCTGATTGTGCAACTTTGGAGCCAGTCATTTACATCTAATATTTTTTCCCTCTTGTTCCACAAGTGGGTATGAATTATTTATGTATATGTGAACGTTTTTATTTTTAACTGTTTACGGGGTACTAGTAATGGTGAAGTCCTGATGGAACAGAACTATTATATAATTGCTTCTATATCCCCCTGTCCATTTCAATCTATGTAATTTCATCTTTCTAGCTGCTGGCTACCTTTCAATTCAAAAGTACTCGTCACCTTGCAAAATTGAGCACTCGTCTTTCATTGCTTTGATTCCATAACACATTCTTCTATTTTCCAGTTATTCGAAGTTCAGCTTGATAACCCTGAAGCCATGCTCCGGTACTCCTCTGCTCTCGTCCAAGGAGCTACAAGTGTCTTCTGGTATGAAGCTTTATCTATTACATGTAACTTAAAGTAGTTTGCTGACATGATGCTATGTAGACTGGGAAAAAGAAGTGGGGGTGTAGGCTGTCAATTTTCTTCCTTTAGATCCTAAAATGTTTATGGTTTAGTCCATTGGCACTTCCATTTTTCTCTATTTTTCCTCCTCCTGTATTAGAGATTGAGGGCTTCTCAATTGGATAAATTCTTATATGTAGGATTGACATCCAAACAAATGCAAGACGTTTCCAGAGTCTCTTTCAGGTGAGCTGTTTTTTTCAAGACACAATATATCAAGTGCCGTTGCATCAATACTTTTTTGTTAACCCTCACTATTTTGACTGATGACAGTATCTTCTAGAAGATGTTGCTCTAGTTTCCGAGCGATTGAAGAAGATCCCCCTACAGGTCTATCATTTATCTAGTCAATAATCATTGAATTCCTTGTACGTTGTGGACTCTAAGCTAGTTAAAATTTTGACATTGTGATTCAGCACCAATTCGTGTTCTTTCCATTATTCATCAGGCTCAGCAAGACCTGTTTCTTCTCCTCTCAAGGATCATGTTTTTTTATAATTCAGGTGTGTAAAATCCACTGCCTTAAGCTAGTTTGTATTTTTCTCTTCGATAGTCATTCTAACAAATAATGATGTTTTCTCACAGTTGACAAACTTGAAAGTTTTTTAAAGAAATTTCCTGATTATCCAACTGCTTTCTTGATTGGGGGTCCAGCAGACATTTTTGTTATTGAATTATCTGATCAGGTGGCAAACAAGATGCCTTTTGAATAGTTTTGCCGTTTCGTACATTTGATTATGATCCTTGCTAGTTATCCTTTTATATCACGTTTTACCTTTTGCCTCTCAATGATCTATTTTATTCAGCTTCAAAAGTTGAAGGTGGAGCCAGTGCTTTTGCATTATCTTTCACAAATTAAAGCACTCCAGGGTACTCCTAATCAATAACTGCTGATGTCATATGTCATACAATTTAAGGATTTTTGACCTTTTTGGATGTAAAATGATATAAGCTGGAGTTTAATCTTCTTTCTATTGTTGACAGGCCTAGAACTTAGAATGACAACAAGTACAAGACTGAGAACATGTTTGTACAGCTTCACATCTCCAGGTGGCCCTATGTATCCAACAAGAGCTGTTCGTCATGCAGCATGGGAAGCTTTAGATTTTCTCTTTCCTGTGAGTCCCTTTTTTCCCTAGTTATAAGTTGCAGAATCTTTGGGTACGCGAGTATTTTCTCGTATCTTTTTCATGTATGCCGCACATGAATCGTGGAGCTGAGCTAGAATTTCACCGCTGACCGGTAATTCCATGTTGTAAAAGGCAAAGATGGAAGGCTAGACAAGGCTTTTATCACTTGTAGGGTTGCGCATCTGCCCCACAAATTTCAATTTATAACTTCTATAAAAAATGAGAAAGATATATTTAAAAAATTAACAAGATACAGTATTGCTGGAAAATTATTAGGAAAACCATAGAAACTAGTAATTGTTCATATACATGCTCGGAATTTTGATGGCGCCGATATCCATATTTAGGTTTGAATTAACATTTGGTTCTCATTCTGATATGTCACGGATGCTATGTTCCAGATTGGGAGATATCCTCGGCATCTCATAAGTCTATTCTTCAGATTGCTTTATCCATGGTACTTGCCCTCATCGTGTTGGAACTTTGTACTCTCTTGTTTACAAGCTGTACTGTATTCTCTGTTTGGATTCATTTTTTCTGGTTTGGGGAAATTGACAAAACTGAAGAACTCGTAGCTTCAACCCTTGTTGTAGGTTTTTTGTTAGAAAATTTGTGTGGAAGGGACTTTATCTTTTATTGACATACTTTGGTCCAAACTGTTGTATTCCCATACAATGTTCTTGTATTAGTAAAGCAGAAATGTTGAAGTTGTGCTTCGAACTTCGACTGAGTGTGAAGTATATTGTTTAAACTGTCTCTCTCGGCTTCAGTATGATCTTGTTTTCTACTCTAATCCTCCTGAATGTGTGTCTTTTGCTATTTTGGGAACACTTTATGGCATGTTTGGTAAGTTGAATTAGTCTTCAATGACAATGAACAGTATTAAAGATGAAAGCAAAAAGTTAACATCTTGTTCTCTACTCTGTCATTATGTGCTCAGCATGCTCTAAGAGAGTGAAGGATTTATGGTGTATGTATGACTTAAAAGGAAAAAACAATCATACTGCTGAAAACTAGATCCTGCTAGAGATGGCAAATTCCGCGGTCTGCATCGCCGGGTCCTGAATTTTTTAACTCGTCAGGAATTCCTTTATTGTACTTTATTTTATTTTTATACTTTCCAATTTTAATCTAATTTAAAAAACATAAAAAATAATATTAAAAATATAAATAAATAATTAAATGGGACAATGAATAGGAATTTGTTAATTCCTGCCCTGTTCTCATTCTCACCTTGCCTCTCGATAATCCCCGGGGTATGGTAATGGTAGCCTAACATCCCTTTTTCCTGCCCTTCCATGAGAAGGTTATGGCAGTAAGAGAAGGCGACTCTCAATAAAGAGTACTCCTCAACCCAGCGTCGAGAAACTCTTAAAAGGGCAGAAACAAACAATAAGAAATTTCCAGTTATATATCTAAGGTGAAGATGACTTGGGATAATAAATATTGATACCCTGGTTTCAATAATTTTTATCCGCTGCGGTGGCATAAATTCTGCAAGAAGCAGAAATGTGTATAGTGTCCATAGTCCTTCATTTTCTTGAAATTGTTCATCGTTTCCAGCAAGGATCGGTATTTTAGTTCAAGATCTGAATCTGACTATAAGAATTAATTATTTTCAGGTTTTTACCGAGGCTAACCCTTTGATTGCGAGTAAATTTCGATTCTGTGCCCATAAAAGTGTTGAAATCTTGCACAGGCAAAGCATTTATGTGACTCAAAATGCGTGTATTGAAGTTGAGATGCAATATCCTTTTATGTTTAATGTCATGCGTAAAAGAAACTTGCTAGAATGCATGCATTGAGATTTACTAGATTGAACTATGTATACCATACTATGTTCACTTAGTTTGCGAGTTGCACAAGTTCTTATTTGGTTTAAAATAGGCACAGAAGACTTGGTTTGAGAACTTACAGGGAGCTCTGTTATCCTTTGGCTTTGCTGGTGCATAATCTGATGAGTCCCTATTTGTGAGGAACACAAAAGTGGCATACTACATATATTTTAGCGTATGTAGATGATGTAACATGGAGCAATGATTCTGTCGTCACAGACTTGGTTGCTAAGTTGAATGGTCTCTTTGCTCTCAAGGACCTCTACGAAATCAACTACTTTCTTGGCATTCAAGTGGTGCACAAAAATGATGGACTACATCTTTCTCAAACAAATTATGTTCAGGATTTACTAGAAAGAGCTAAAATGTCTTATTGCAGACTGATGAGTACTCCAAAGGTTGCTGGTGCTAAACACTCTAGTTCAGCAAGTGACCCTATTTCCAATGTTCACTAATTGTGGGGCACTCCATTATGTTACCATCACTCGACCAGAGTTAGCATACTCTGCCAGTTTATGCAAAATCCCTTGGAAGAACATTGGCGTGTAGTGAAAAGGATACTACATTACTTGAGGGGAATTGATGAGGACATCACCTACTTTGAACTCCTACTTTTGGGCTATCTTTATTTATGCTTTGTTAGTTTTAATTGGGCTTGTATATGGGTTTGGCCCAAGCCCCTTTCTCTATGGGTTTCCTTATTTTTCTCTAGAGGAAATTACATGAAACCATAGTTTTAAAGATACAAAATAAAAAATCAGATCACAACTTTATTTATACAAAAATCAAATCTTTTAATTAATATTATAAAACTAAAAATTAATTTATATACAACCTACCCCACCCCACCCTACCCTACTCCACCCACACAACCCGGTTTTAAATCTCTAAATCACCCGATTCACAGTTCACTTCTCTCTCTCTCTCTCTCTCTGGTGGTGGCGGTATAGAGGGGTGGTGGCAGTGGTGTCGATCTTGTGATGGGTGGTTGGTCGCGGTGATGGCGGCGGCACCGACTGCTCATCTTTTCTCCTCCTCGTCGTCACAACGGCGTTCGCCGTTCGTCGCTGTGATGATGCTGTTCATTATATAGTTCATAGTTTCTTGGTTAATAATTCTATAGAAGCATTTAGACCGGTATAGTTTTTGTAGAAATTCTTGAAAATTTTCCATAACATACTGTTTATCCCTGTGTATCCTTGGGAAGGTATATCTAATTGCTTTCCAATTCTGATCTCCAATCCATTTTTGTATTCAAGTCTAGCATTAAGTGATGCTGCAGATTTTAACATTAGGTGCGGTGTGCTATGTGTGGCGGTGTGGTGGCGGCTCTGGCCTTGTACAGTGATGCTGATCGGTTGTTGTGAGGTGGTAGTGCTGACAGGTTGTCGTGAGGTGTTGGTGTTTTTATACAATGTGTTGATTTGTTGAGATTATGTTATTGTGGTTCTGGCAGTGACAGTGATGGTGCTGATGGGAGTGGTGAGATGGTGTCATGGTGGTCACAAGTGTTGGTTGTGGTCACAGAGTGTACTATTTTTTCTCTTCTCACTCTCTCTTCTCTCTAGCAGTGGACGGTGGCTGAGGGTTTGGTGTTTGTGTTGGACTATCTGTGACCTTAAAATTCTATAATTTGTGACTAAAAATTAATCAGTGACCTTAAAATTCGACAATTTGTTACTAAAAATTAATCTGTGACCTGTAATTTTTTAATCCGTGATCTTTAAAATTATTGATTTGTGACCATGAAATAATCTGTGACCTCCAAAAATTTTGATCTGTGACCGATATACNTCGGAATGGGCGCCAGAGCGGGGTGGTGTGGGTGGGGTGGGTTAATTATTTTATATTATATTAGAATTAAATATTTAATAATAAATTGATTTAATAATTTATTATTTCATAAATAATAATTTAAAAAAATTTAAAAAAAATCTGATTTTGGTAACTTAAACTTGGGTTCTTATTTTTGAAATAGACTAAACTTATACTCTTGAATATGTAATCTTCCCTTTTCTCTATATGTCTTGTAATGTAAACTTAGCTATGTTAACGACCCGAGCCGAAAAAAAAAGCTTGGGCTCAGCTTGAGCTTTTTTAGGCCGAGCTTTTTGCGCTCGAGCCGAGCAAAGTTCGGCAAAAAAAAAAATGAGGCTTGGTTCGAGCTTTTTGCTCGAGCCTTAGCAGGCCGAGCCGTTCGGATTTTTTCTTAATGTCAAATCTACATTTTTACTTAAAAAATTTAAAATTTGTATGGTTTATATGTACTATAAATTAAATAAAAAAGCTCAGGTTCAGCTCGAGCTTTTTTTGGCCCCGAGTCAAGCCGAGCAAAGTCTGGCAAAAAAAATGAGGCTCGGTGTAACCGAGCTTGAGCCGCGCCCGACTCGAGCTTTTTTCGAGCCGCATGAGCCGATGAGCGTTTTTGCCATTCTTATGTAAACTTGAAAGTTCAGTTGATGAATGAATTGAAATGAATACGCTTGTGTATCAAGTTTTCTTCTATCTCCCTTGAGTTATCTTCTCCCCCTGTTTCTCCTCCAGTTCTCCACCCCCCTCCGGTTTCTCTCACTTTCTTGCTCCGTGCTTCTTCTTCTACTTATCTTATGTTGCTTATCAATTCTATGCTGAAATCTTAATCCATCCTGCATCAAATTTGGTATCAGAGCTAAACCTGGATTCCATCATCAATTTGCATACCGGAACACCCAATTCAACCTCTTTGTGTTGACCAATGTCTCCCACCACCCATAGCTAAGCAAATAGCACCCCAAACACTGCTGTACTTTCATAAACAACTATCAGTTTCCCCTAAATTTCAGCCACTGATATCAACAAACCTGCAACCCACCAACAAATTGCCTTTAGTTCCTCATTTCTTTAATCTTTGCTCAAGATTCGAAAGGGAGTTCTTAGCTTCTGGGATGTACCCTGTAATTGAATTATCAAATCACAACAATCATCAATCTAATCCAAATACAACTTCCCAGCATCTTCACCATGACACACAACTTAAACCACAGCAACACCACACAACCGCAATCACAACTGCCCACCTTATAACCTAGCCCATTTCTTTTATCAAAACACTTAAGTCATAAACATAAGCTCAACATCAACACAAAACTAATAGCCTACTGCCAATACTAAAACTATTGGCCCAAATTAAACTCAAGCCCACTACACAGGCCTAGCCTAGCCGCGACAATCATCTGCAACATCAACAACCTTACCGCCGTCAATCATCTTAACTCTGGCCTCCAACCACCCAAAACACCCAAAGCCACCAGACCTTCTGTCCTTGACACATCGCAACCCTACACGAGCTCTCGCCGCCAGTCACCCTGACAAACACATAATGTAAAGCTAAAACCAACGGAAGTAGTAATATATATTCACCAAGAATGCCAAATACAGATTTACACCAAGTAAAATCAAATTCAATGAGGGCTCAGAAACAATTCATTGTACCCGTCTGTATAATCTAGAATCAGCCACAAGAACCCAAACCCTAAGACAATAATCCAAGAAGCTACTACAATAGACTCGATCGAACAAATCGATCTCCAACTAGAAAAATCCCCCTCAATACAAAGACAATATTCACTAAGAAACAATGATTAAACCAGGGGATGTAATCTATTTACAAAAAATCAGATTTGAGAGACCCAAACGAGCAGAATCACGAAGAAGAAGAAGCCAGAAGCTCTTTCGCACAAAGCCAGAAAGACGGAATGAAT